TTGTAACATTATTGTGGCCCTTGGGATCTTTAGTGTGGAGGATGAACGAGGTCTTAAGTCAAGTGAAGCTGAGTTCAATGAACCCTCCAAGTACACGGGGCACCGCGACAAGACTCGTGTCATTGTACGAATAGACAATATAGTTTCGTCTCCTTCCGCCACACTCCAATGAAATTCCAACCTCCTAAATTATAACACGCTTCATTAATTGCCATTATCGATGCTTCTTTCATGGGCTTGATAAGTTCTTGGTAACCATTATGCCAAAAAGCTTTTAGTGGCATAGCATCGAAATGTGTTCTGTGGGACGATGTCTAACCTGGGGTATAGTATAGCCGCCCAGAGCATCAGTGGAACAACCGAGTCCAGATCTGTTGGACTGAACAACGTTCTGTTTGCTATCAGACCACGAAAGAAAGTAGATTCGATATCGTCGAGTGGCCTGTGGACAGTTAGTGAGGGCAAAGAATTCTTAGGGTAGAGTAGGTAGTTAGGTTTAAATGATTGTTTGTACTTCATAGGAAAGATCATTACTTCAAAATACCACAGCTTCTAGTGAGATTTAGAAGTTTCGAAATCTTGTGCTAGAAACAAAACTCCATTATATTCATGCATTTATGAAATAAAAACCTGGGGAGTCTCGCTGTCTAATATAGACGATTAAATTCGGAGAAGAAATGAATTTACGTACTTCAGCTAAAACACAAACTGGTGATGGAGGTCAAGGGAGCCGCAATTGACTCATCACATCCTCTGATCGAATTGCCTACCGTACTTTCATTCGAGGCATCTTCTTATTTTGAGAGCTTCGGACCTTCTCGTTACAATTGTATAATTGCATGGCTATAGAGGGGGGGGTTCGCTAGTGGTTTGCGCAGCCTTGTCAGCAAAGAGACATGTTGCCGCTCCCTTCTAGGATGGGACACCCATGTTAATGTGACCTTCGTTGTTTAAAAGAGTCAAGGTGTTGGATTTAAAAGGGTGTGAAGGAGGGTCATCTGGGCAAGACCAAGACCAGCCTTCCTATGTCGTGAGAGATTGTTAAACAATAAGTAAAAGAGTTGGTTTGGAAGCCAGAGTATGCCCAGATACGATACCGAAATGCATGGAAGGGTAAACACCCAACACCTGTATAACTTTTCCTTCGCCCAAGGCGTCCGATTCAATCAGAGGTACGATCTTTGCCGCCAACATGGAGTGATATCTGTTTGTTTTCGGCTTAGTTTTGGCCGCTGTAGTCAGGCGATAATTGTTCTACCAAGGGTAGAGTAGGATGAATCAATATAGTTTCACTCGCCGAGCAGAAAAACCTGAAGGTGCTCTATGAGCTCCGGAGCAACTGTGTGGACGGGAGAGATTGAAGGGACGTCTAGGATTTAGAGATTGAATGCGATACCTAAGACCCAGTTCACTCTTTGACCCGTATATCGTCGATCAAAGTACGATCTATCTACGTATCGATAGCTTAATATGTCGCAACGATAAAGTCACTTCTGAAGGGTCGAATACCTACTAGGTAGGTGTAAGAGATCGATTGAATTAATGGACTTTGTGTAGAGATAAGAAAAGATATACAAAAGATATCTATAAACGCGAAGGATCGATGTTGGCGTGAATGAAATAATTCACGTGTCGTCTGTCGGGTTCAAATTAAGCTTACCGGTAGTGGATACCTAGGTACCTAGTAATTAAAGTGTACTGTCGTGCTGTGGATCAATCGTTCATTCTAATCTTAGACCACAAACGCCAATCTCTCGAGTCTCAGTGCTTGAAAACAGAAACCTTAATTCGAAGAATCATTTTGTACATCGACACTCGTAAACACGTTACATACAATACAGGCTTCAATTTCACCACCTCTTTTCAATATTCCATACCTTACCGTGAAAGAGATGTTTGCACATACTTATTCAACATCAGGAGTTACAACACCTTCAACAGTATACATACTTAAGTACCTGTTGTAATGAATCGTTATTGCAGGTTCGGACATTACTCTCACTATTGGCACTCGTGCCAAAGACTATTTTATCATGTCGCACAACGATATTGAACGCAATAAACGCGTTGCGAACATATGGACTGCGCGTTTTATGCCCTTCGCACTTGCGGGTGTGGTTGGCTATGTAACATATGTCATAGTGGCCATTCTTTGTGGTAGGACGGAGAATGACATGAGCATCTCAATATGACCTGCTAACATCTTGCTTCCAGTAAATTACCTTTTAGTCGAACAGAAAAGTAAGGGCGCCGCAGTGCCCATCCTTATAATATATTTTCTGTTGTTCGTCCTCATGGCCTCGTCTTTTTTCCGAGTTGTGTATATGACGACCTTCGATCCTCCTTATGCGCCACTTGGAGCTGGAGCTGCTTTGATTCAGCGTAGAAACAAACGAACAAATGATGATATTGGCGGGGGAGAATACACTTCAGGGGATTTTGATGGATCCAAGAATGATCCAGACTCTCCTGGACTCGAATTATTTTACACAAAAGACGTCTTCGGTGTGGAAAAAGATGGCAAGCCTAAATGGTGTTCCGAGTGTTGCATATGGAAACTGGATCGCCAGCACCACTGTAGTGTTGTAGGAAGATGTATATACAAAATGGATCATTATTGCCCATGGTATGTCCACTGTAACTCCTTTCTTGTTTTGTGGCTAACAAAGTGCAGGGTAGGAGGGCCTATCGGCGAGAACAACTTCAAGTTTTTTATTCAATTTGTTGGGTACACCTCCTTATTTTGTACACATGTCCTTGTAGTTATGGCAGTATACGTTCATCGACAGCGGAGCACCCAGGTATGATTGACCCATGGACTTTCATTTTCCCAATCTTTCAAATGCAATTCAAGATTTGCACTTGATCGAAACAGAGGGCTCGAGAGCAAAATATTGTTGACATGCACTAATTTTACCAACCAGGGAGTGCCTGTTAACCGCCAGTTCATTGCCGTTCTTGCACTGTAAGTTAGTGATCCTCGTGATGCGCTTCATTACTGACCAACAACTCAGAGCTGCATTTTTTGGCCTGTTCACTGGGACGATGTTCCTGACATCCGTGAGACTCGCAATCAATAATTTGACACAAGTCGAAGACATTACTAGGTTTGGAAAGATCCATCGACTAGCAATACTAAAGCCATCCCCACAGAGGTTGGCGGAAATAAGTGTAACAGCCGCTTCGACGCAAACTTATTCCGAGATAATGTATCCGCTAGACATTCCGGCACCCTTGGACGGCATCCGGGTAAATCGCCCGTATGTGAAAACTATCAGGCACGATCGCTTGTCCGAGCCAATTTCAGTCAATGACGCAAGGCGAATGGCTGGTGTCACAGGATTGCCTGCCAATGCAACAATCGAGCAAGCTAACGGGAGCGTCCAACCTGGAAATCTGCTCTCGGAATCAACAGAAGCTGGCATCGCTGATAATTCGTCAACCGCTCTCTCGTCGTCTGAAAATATTGAAGCACCAGCAATTGGTGGGCTCCAGAAACCGACAGAAAATACTGAGCGGTTGGATAGAGACCAAAGGGCTGTGCGTACCTTTGCAATACTCGAAACACTAACCCCCGGCGACAATCCCTGGGATCTTGGATCCGCTCTATTAAATTGGGAGACTGTCATGGGAGAACTTTTTTTTGACTGGTTTCTGCCCATGAAGAGAAGCCCTTGTTGCAAGCACGAGAATACAGAGAGTCACTTCTCGATTGGCCCATCTGTAGATCGCATTCGAGCCTCAGTTTGCTTTATTCCACCTAATGAGGTACGTCCTGAAGGACATCGTCAACGGATCAGGCCAAATCGCCACAAGAAAGACAAAGCGAGTAAATCGGGGCGACATTTTAGCCCAAATGATGAAGAAATGGGTCGAAAAACGGACGAGACAGAACTGCGAGATCTCCGCGCTCGTAACTCACGCCATAGATGATATGTGTTCACTACCTTTTAAATAAATTCACAAACTAATGGAAGTCGTTCTGGCTTGGAGCGGAGTTTGCTACAAAACGAGCACTCGCATCATATGAAATTGGCGTTAGGAATATCACGATGCCAGTATATAGAAGCACTAAATGTAATAATTAATCTAATTCGACTTTAGAAAGGCATTGGAATAGAAAGTAATACCTTTAAGCTCCCCGAGCATTGTCCTTATTAGTATTCACAGTTCATTGTGTTCGAAATCCTGATTATTCGTCGCATGCGAAGCTCAAAAGGATCATATTGTTTTCGAGATGCCTGCTCTTGTTGTCTCCTTAATTTATGCGAGGATATTAAACCAGGTGCAGTATACCTTGTTCCATACCTAAATCCGACTTCTAAGCATACTAACACTGCCGGAGCTAAGATATTCCCATATGTGTCCATGACAGGGTCTAAAATTGAACCAACCTTTGAGCAACTTGCACCCATTTTCGAGGAACTCGCTTGAAATTCGAGATGATTCGGAAGGCAAGACAGAATATTCCACGTGATGCAACCCAAACTAGGAAGAATAGTCGCGTGAGTGACGAGGAAAGAGACTCGCTAAAGGTATAGGCCATCCGATACATCATCTTGAGATGTATTGTACGGGATATGGAGTATTGTAATGTGAGTTCAGTTGTTACGGTTCGCTTTCGGAAGAGGAGTTTCCGTGCTGTTGTGGCAGTCAACAGATTGATACTCAAACAAGATAATACTCATGACATCACTAACCGAAAGTCTCGGGTATATGGTACGGCATAAAGAAGGAAATAAATCATAACTCTAATAACCATAATCCACGGAGCCAACCAATCTCGCGAACTCCATAATCAATCCCGACAAACTTTTTCGCACCAAATGAAGAAATGGGCACCTTATCATTCAAAGTCAAAACCAACAACCTATTCTCCCTGTCCAACAAAAACGATCTCAAATTTTGACACATGCATGACCCTTTTATCACTCTGAAACACCGCTCGGTAGCTAATCTCCCCCTTCCTCCAACTCTTCACCACAGTATTCTCACCACTCTCATATCCCATACGAGCTTCTTGATCTCGTATTCGATGGCAGTCGGTGTCTAATACCAAGCCTGCTGCTAAGGAACGGAACAATAGGTGCAGTAGGGATGCGAGCAATCGGGACAGTACCAGTCCCATGTCTCGGAATCGACTTCTCGATAGCATGCGCAGCATACCCACCATCCCTCCAGGCTCGGGTTGTTTGTTGCAGTATATGTAGACATTGTCGATCTGAATCATCAGTATGCATTTCAATGATCAAGAGGGCTTTTAAGACTCGAATACCTTGAGCTTTAATTCCTTTTCTATTGAGAAGTTTCGATTTTCTTGGTGAAACAGCAAGCAGTGGGTTTGGATGGAAAATGCCGATGAATTGCGGGAATGCTGCGTCTTGTTTCTGTTTTGAATGCTGAGATGATCTTGCTGCGGATTCAAATTGTCTTGACGGACCAACACTTTTAAATACTTCGAAAAATTGACGTTCCGCAGACGAAATCAAAGTTGTTCACCTTTCCGACGCCCCCATGACTGATGTCCCAATATCGCATCTAAACGATGGGCGCCGCGCCCCTCGAAGTCTCCACCGTCCATGGTGACTAGCAGTGGAGTTTTTCCCGGATCATCGTTAGGAGGTGGCGCAGCTGGTATCGATGGAGAGGTTATTTCGGTCGTCAGTTGCAATGGTACAATGGAAGTCTGTAAGTTTGTTGTCGAGAAAGATATTTCGTGTAACGTCACTCTTTCTAGAATCCTTTAGGAACCGTTCCATTGGAACAAGGCACATCTCGCCAGGTCGTTTGTCACCGAAGATCTGCTTATAAGCCCCTTGGACGTAGACGAGAACATTTTGGAAGCTACGTGGAAGCTCACCAATCGATCCGCCGGTGAATGGCGGGCACTCGCGATGACGCGATGAAGGAGAAAGTTAGGAAGACTCTAGTGTAGGGCGCGTGGAGATATGGACCAGGTAAACATTTATGTGAGTACCAAAGTCTAGTCATTGCGGGCATACATCCGAAGTGGCTTGCCCTTGAATCCATGGCATCCTGAAATTCTTAAGCGCGCTTCAATGATCGGTCACAATACGAGCTTTAGCAAGGTAGCTGTTCGACCAGCCTCCCTGGCATAGTCAATTGCATTCCAACTCCTACTATTATGGTCAACGAGAATAGCTTGAAGGGAAGTTAAAATCACTACCGCGCATCTTGGGAGAGGTGACGTATCTCTATTTCTTTAAGTGTGCATTTTCCCAACTCCTACAAGAAAATACTGAATCCTTCGACCTATTTTTGTGGCCGGACATTCTGGTAAGGCTAGCAAAGAACCAAGGGTTGTGTGTAGTGATGCATACGCCTTTTCTTAGCCTCAGCACTCTTAAGTGCGGTGCTCAAGCTCATGATGACTTTCTTATTCCGAATTTGAACTTCTGGGGCTATATCTCACCGCAAGAGGAGGAACGTGAGAAGAATTAGAGTAGTAACTGGGTGATGTTTGCTAGCAAAGAGTCAAAACTAATTTCACGTTTTAGCAAAACATTAAAAATATCGTGTTTGGGGAAAAGATCTAAATGATGTTCACAGCCTCGTGTCATTCGCATACATGAGAACCGAGTCCCGACTGAGCAAAAAGGGTTTTGCATCTCTGATCTGTTAGTCTGTTGTGTGACACCATGCCAGTCACTTGGGATTCGACAGAAGATCTATAATTTGACTGCAGAATCAAGCCGTACGAAGTGACATTACTTTGCTTTTGCCGCACCATCCTCAAGGAGCCGCTCCTTGAGCCGCAAGAACTTTGATAGATGAGTAACATGAGATATGCAACTAGTGTTGGCTAAAACTAATATAAGCATGACAACTGTAGCTAGCATTCAGGGTTACTTGCTCTCGAGTAATCTTAGCTCATGTCACACCAGTCAGATCAACATTTGACTCAAGACTGAAGATAAAGCCAGCGGCCAGAAAAGCAAACCTATACGAAATTGGTGCTAGAATGATAGGATAGGCATTCATACAAAGAATCATAATATTCATCATACCTTCTTTTGATTCTGAGTGAAAGACCGTAACAGCATTTCTGAAGTTGACTGCTTTTTCAGCTTAATATCTTCTAGCAGTTCTTTCATGTCACATCTCAATACAAAAAGAGCCTCATGTGCAAGGGATGAAGCTCTTTTAACCGATCACCATCCCAAAAAGCTCACATGCGTGAGGGGACCGCACGAATGGCCATCTTTACAAGCAGTCTAGTCCCGAAAAAGATACAATGATCCTAAGTACACCTATCACAGATCCGAAATTTGGTTTATGCCCTCTCAATTGAAAATGCTGAGATCAGATTTCATCTGCCGGCTAATCAAGTTTTCTTCTCATCCCTAGCTCTTTTCCCATAATATTCTTCCCTTTAGAGAATCATGTCAACATTACAATTATTTCAAGAGATATCTTGTCTGGTCTTACATCTTGTTTCCATTTGGCTTCCCTTCTAATCTATCAAGAGCATCTTCGATAAGTCCAATATGTCCTCTCAAGGTACCCTCCAACTCATCCTGCAGAAGATGTGTTAACACAGTGAAGTTCGCTCAATTCGAAGCGCAAAAATCTGGGCAAGAAACATGTTTGGGTGGAAGAGGACACATAAGAATTTCAAACAGGCCAGTATCTTCATGGGTCTACCCAACGTCTGATGATCTTTTGGAGGCCAATCATTTCCTAATTGTAAACCCCGCTTGAAAAGGGCTATCAATTTGAGATTAACAGCATGGCCGTTGATGTACGAGGCCGGAATAAGGTGCAAGTATAGACAGTCAAGGAATGTACAACTGCATGGTTACAGTGAAAAATGTGAATCTTATTTGTAGACGGGTGCTAGACTGATAGTTGACCTGACAAACGGAGATTGTGCCAACTACAGACAATCCCCTGTACCGGGTGATGGGTATCCTCCTGTGATACTGGCATCTGAGCAACTAACCTTCCCTGGACGTAATGGTAACAATGACAACCCAAAAGGAATGAATCTCCCACGTACCATTCTTGCTTCATGGTCCTCCGAGAGCTCCACCATATGCGATCTTAAGTTGTAGGTGCTTCCCACAACACCTACCAAAGTAGTGAGGTTTAGAGCAAAGAGAGCTGCGGGGTTTCGTAAAAACGACATTATTAATTCGAATTATTGAATACAGTTGAAAGTCGGATGAAATGAATCGAAGTAAATAAGTGAGAATAAATAGGGAGATATTACAAAATGTACAATAAAGAGCATATATCATGTATGTGAGTTCGTGAGGTACAATATAATAACTACTAGGTAGGTACCCTCGTACCTAGTACTCTACTCCACTACAGAGTCATGACATCAGCACGGAATAGTTTTAAGGCGCGGTACATCGCGCAATCACGTCTCCCATTACAAAGAACATGGAAAATACACTTTAACGCGTCTACGCCATCCATCAATCTCTTCGATCAACGGTTGAGCTGGATGCTGGATTGCTTTACCAATAAGTTTTTGTATCCAAAGGTAAGACTCAGTGTCATTTCACTATCCTAGTGGCAGATGTATGAGAGTATCATTATCATCTTTGACCACAGATAGAATTTCCTTCGAAATTCGTAACATCTTAACAAGTACCCTTCATTCTATTCTGATGTTCAACTCCGAATTAAATATTCAAGAAAAAAAGAACACTGCGCAATTGCTGTATGATATCGAGTCTAATTCTCAGGCTCAGAATATCTTTTCCTTACTTCTATTATCGCATGTACATAACATGGCCACGGACTAGCGAACCTACTACGCCAAAATCATATTTCTCGAGCGAAAACCCAAAGTCATGTCTTCTCCGCAACCTTTTATGCAATCTTCCCCTCTCCAAGCCTCACCGTCGCGTCGCAAAAAGAGTCAATTTACGTATAGGCACCTCGCACAGTTGGCTCTTTCTGCTACGTCATGCCCTCTGAGGGTGATCGCACATCTCGACCTTGACGCATTTTATGCGCAGGTTGAGATGGTAAGATTAGGAACTGAGGAGGACAAACCATTAGCTGTACAACAATGGTGAGAATTCTTTACTCAATGAATGGTCGACTATCATGCTTTTCGAGGGTCTGCTGAAGCTAATACGTGGGTTGAACATAGGCAAGGTCTCATAGCTATCAATTATCCAGCCAGGGCATTTGGTCTCAACCGTCATATAACTATTACGGAAGCAAAGAAGCTTTGTCCAGATCTCATATGTCAACATGTTGCGACTTGGCGCGAAGGCGATGAAAAATGGGCATATCACGACGATGCCTTTAAGAATATTGCTACACATAAAGTCTCTCTCGATCCTTACAGACTCGAATCAAAACGGATATTGGCTTGTATAAAAGATTGTCTACCCAAAGAGTTGCAGAGAGTAGAGAAAGCTAGCGTAGATGAGGTTTTCATGGATCTATCTGCCCAAGTCCATACGACGCTTTTGGAGAGATATCCTGAGTTGAGAGGTCCTGCTCCCTACGATGATTTGACGGAACAACTACCGCTACCCCCCACGACTTTTCTCGACTGGAAAGCGGATGCACTCGTGGATCTAGATAAGGATGAAGCGGAAACTGATGACCCGGATTGGGATGATATAGCAATGCTGATTGGTTCTGAAATCGTACGCACAGTTCGGGCCGCAATACGTGAGAAACTCAAATACACTTGTTCGTCCGGCATTGCCCAAAACAAAATGCTTTCTAAATTGGGTTCCGCGCATAAGAAGCCAAATCAACAAACTGTTATCCGAAATCGGGCAATTCAGCAATTCTTATCAGGCTTCAAGTTTACTAAGATTAGAAATTTGGGAGGCAAGACAGGTGAGGAAGTGGTCAAGCTATTTAATACAGATATGGTCAATGATCTGTTGCTTGTTCCCATGGAGCAATTAAAACAAAAATTAGGAGACGATACCGGGACGTGGATCTACAACGTCATTCGTGGAATTGATGACAGTGATGTCAATTCACGAACTCAGATAAAGTCAATGTTATCTGCAAAATCGTTTCGACCTAGTATCAACACTCCCGAACAGGCTAACAGGTGGCTCCGCATTTTTGCGGCGGATATACAATCCCGATTAGTGGAGGAGGGGGTTCTAGAGAACAAGAGAAGGCCCAAGACGATCAATTTGCACCACAGGCATGGAGCCCAAAACAAATCTCGACAAGCGCCCATTCCGCAAGGAAAGCAGATGGATGAGATACTCCTTTTTGAACTTGCCAAGACACTTCTAAATCAAATCATGCTTGATGGGAAGGTATGGCCTTGTTCGAATTTGAGTTTAAGTGTCGGCGGTTTTGAGGATGGAGTGCCCACTGGTAACATGGGTATCGGGGCGTTTTTGGTCAAAGGCGATGAAGCCAGGACTCTAAACAATCCAGCTCCGCGAGAGCTGAACGTATCTGCAGAGAGACCTGAAAAGAGACGTCGTATACTTGATGCAGGAATCCAGAAATTCTTCGTCAAAACAGATAGCGTCGAAGAGCACGATGATGATTTCGGCGGTGAGCAGAATTTAGCCGGGCCAGGTATTGTATATGAGGAAAAGGGGCATTCGCTTCCCAAAGTGGATTTTAAGGCTGCACGTTTACCGCAAGAGAATGAGGCGGCCAGAAGGCCAGAAACATCAGCCAATCCCTCTGCCCCAAAACAATCACAAATTACAGAATTTCTATGCACCCGTTGCAATCAGGCGCTGGATTGTGCGGAGGCATTTCAGAGTCATCAAGATTGGCATTTCGCTAAAGATCTTCATGATGAGGATCGTTTACGGCGTACATCGTCAGCTCCTGCTCCTTCCTCCGCCAACAAAAGGGGTGTTGCTTCGAAGAAACGAGGCAATGGACGCGGTAGCCGACCAGAAAAGGGTCAAAGCAAGTTGACATTTGGATAATGAAAAACAGATGAAACAACTCTCACCGACCGCGTTTTCACCCTATCCTGAAGTGCCACACGATACCTTTAACTTATAGGTGAATGCGCCGAGATTTTACCACTCATGCTGATGGGCAGAGCCCTATGGTTCCAGAAGACGGCCAATTCATGCTCGAACTTTGCTCCGATATACTGTGCAACTGGAACAATGTGCTCACCGGGATCGCACATTCTGTATGCAACGTGATGTCCGGATGTACAAACACATTTCTGCGGCATGAGTTCCATTGGATAACGAATTTGTAGAATATGATCTTTTCGAAGCTACGAGTAATGCAATAACGACCATTACTGCGATAGCATTCCTTCTAGAGGTTCAGCTAGAGCCGGCCACCCGGCCATATTATGGCCTTACAAATGATAAGCAGGTTTGCCATGGATCCAGGCTGTCAGATTTAACAAGCAACACTCGTACTTGGATCTTCAGGACGGTCATGCGCAATATTGAAGGCATCAAGAACAATAGATAATGTCTCACTCACACAAAGCACCCATTATTTGGATGGGATGAAAGACATGCCGTTAGCCCTACCAACTTTGAGTCGTTCGTCTCTCGTCAGATATCCTGATCGGCAGAGTACATCATCACCTCCTGTACATATACAGTAAGACGCAAAGAGATCCAGAGCCTCGTGGGCGTGAGAAGAAGTAAAAGAGCAGAAATTATCAGATTATCGGTAGGCCTATGGTGACTCTAGACAATCTACAAACGCCAGTCGCATGGATTTGTTGTCAATGTGCCTTAAATTAACCCATGTCCAAAAGTATCATGATTGCTTCTCGAAAGACAAATGAAAATTAACTTTGAACGAGTGTGAACCTGTGAAATTGAAGTTTATATGGGTTAGGCAGCATTTTGCTTGCGTTAGGCCGGGATGCATCAATACCCAACCCGATTGAATTCGCGCCACAAAAGAATCACAGACCACCCCAGCTACTAAGATCACAAACCTTGCCAGCAAAACTGCAGGAATCGCTGGCTGCCCTTTGCTTTTTTGGATCTCATTCACTCTCACCATCACCATCACCATCACGATCACCAGTTCCTGTTCCAGTTCCTGTTCGTTCTTCACAGAACATTCAAGCCTTGATTGTTTCTGTTGTGCAATTCGAGGTTCGGAATTGGGGGTCGAATCTCACAGCTTCCATTGGTTCCTCGGTCTAGTAGATTGAGATATTAATGTGATGTGACAGGTAGAATCCTGTGCACAACATGTGTGGGTAGTAAGTATAGCACCGGGCATCGCATAGCATAGCATGTTCATGTAAGGTCAAGGTAGGTAAGAAGCTTTCGAGACAGATTGGACCAAACATTTTGATTGCAATAAACGAAGAATCGGTCAAAGGGAACCTCGGCGTCGCTCATTACAGGATGGATATTCTCCTCTGATGTAGTTACGCGTCATCTTCGATCACTTTACACACTCATTGTGCCATCCATCTAATTCCCTCCTCTCCCGCTGTAGTAGCAAGGAAAGGAGTTCCACTTTCTGGCAAAGTCGGCGAGTCTATATTCCCCAGAACCCAGAATTTACGTTGGGTCGTTGGTCGTAGGACCGAATCATCATGGAACGGTACTGTGATGGACTGGATTTGAATCCCTGGCTGGATCCAATAGTTCAGGCTTGAGAAGATGGGAGATTATGATGGGTTGATGAATTGATGGGCTGATGATAGGGCGAGATATCGATTTGTTTGGTGAAAGTTTTCTAATAAGTATACCCAAAGATACCCTTAACATAAAGAAGGTTTTGGTTAGAGTTTTTTTTTAATGATTCATGTCGACATTTTTGACTATACTCCTGACATGAAGATATAAAACTTTGAACAAACGATACGGAAATTTAATTTTTAATTGGTTTACTATCAAGTACCTTGAGACTTCTTCCGACGCCTAGCTATAACGAGGCATATTTATCTTTCTCTCTAACTCTAACTCTATCTCCATCTCCATACATCCCAGGTACTTAAACCTATCTAGCTGTATACTTCCCTTAAGTTGCCACCGCCGTTGTTGCTGCTGCCCCTCTTTGAAACCCCATCGGTGCCATCACTATCTTCCGCCTTACCATATCCAACCTTACGCCACACTTGTCGACCCATTCCAGATTCCAGTCATCCTTCCTTTATATACTCCCGTACGAAAGTACCTCGGAGGATTAAAAAAACAGGGCTGGCTCGCTCATGATCACTCTGCCCACATTTGGTTTTGCATTGCACTTGCTATTCGTCATATCCCGACCACAGTACTTGACTACAAAAACAAGAATTTGGTATTGTGACTGCATTCTATAGCAATCAGTATTAATTACCTTGGATAATCTAAGAAGAAGAAAAGAGAGAGACCCTTCCTGCTCTTCCTCTTGCTCAACAAAAAGACAGTTCCATTATTTTCTTGAATATTAAATCAGATCATATTAAATCAGATCAGATCAGATCAGATCAGATCAGATCAAATCAAATCGAATCAAGTCAAGTCAAATCAAATCAAAAGCATTAAAAAATCGATTGCAAAAGATCTTCCTCTCCAAACAGAATAATAAGCATAATCCCGTCACAAATCTTTCAATCTTCCACGCATTCTTATTTATACCGCTGGTTGTTGTCGTCCAATTATTCAATACTTATTCTCTTGACTGGTTGGGCTGTACGCGGTATTTAAAAGCGGCCAGTTTAAAACCATTATAACTGCACCATTCCTAAACGGACATTCAGCTACAGTTCCAGTCGGCAGGGGGGGTAAAAAAAGACACAACATTCGACACATTCGACACACCACCCGAGCACCCCTCGCAATCCTCGCAATCCTCGCAATCCTCGCAATCCCAGCCTTCCCTCTCGCTTTTGCCACTTTTCTCCCACTCTTCCTCTCTCACCGTCTTATCTAAAATTCAATTCTTCTTTCGAGTGAGTCTTCAAGACAAGAGTCAAAACTACCATCGAAAAGAACAAGAACACAAGGGGAACAAACAAATCGCCAGCTCAGAGAAAATATCCCAGCCATTATTCGTCTAAAAGGTTAAATTGTTTAGTTGCCTCTTCCTGGAGTACGACTTCATATTACACGACATTATTATACCAGCTTCCGCGTCTTCTGCGTTACTACTCTCTGGGATTGGATAGGACCTTTTCAAATCTTACTCTCTCTTCTCATACGCTTCCCAAACTTCAAAGTTACTCAGGACCAACCGATCCTTTCTCTTACTTCCACAGGATTACTTCTTCTCGAGGCTCCCGTTCATACCCCCCCCCCCCCCCGGATATTGAGAAAGTTTTCCACTTCTCCAAACAGGATTTTCTTCTAGGCCGTTTTCTGACTATCCAATTTGTCACCGGTTATTTTGTGTGCTACCACATTTATTCCCTAGGCTGACTTGTGTGTGATTTGCATTCCAAAATCCTCACTTCTGGTCCTTCTCTTTCTCTTCCTACCAACTTTTTCCTGGATCATCATCATCATGTCGCGACGTGACGATAGAGATAGCAGAGCTTCGCGCTCGCAACCGCAGCCACCACACTCATCTGTTGGCAGGACAGGCCAGTTTGTTATTGACGCTGAAGGTATCGACAGAGAAGTTATCACGGCCGATATCTGCCGGTATCTTGGTAACGATGCTCTCGTCAAACCGGGTGACGTGGAAGTAAGTAGTCGCCTCTAAATTTTCAGACTTGAATCTGCGATGGAAAACTAATGCCTTCACCTACAGGACCCGAGGACGAAACAACTGAAGCCTGTCTACGTGATCACAGCTTACAGGAATCTTACAAATGTAATGTCGCGTTATATCGATTGAGTGATGTCGCTGATGAATTTTGGGTATAGGCAATGATATTTGATTTAAAGCAGGCGTCTGCAGATTGGCGAGCTGAGAGACTTGCTAGATCGAATGCACAATACCCTACAAATGGTATCTCTTTGAGGGATTCGAACGAGATGGTTCGAAAATCTAACACCCCTATAGTAGTTGACTACAGAAGTTCAAATGCACTCGATCAATCTATTGCTCGAATGGATAGAATGGATGCAACACAGCCTCGACCTGCTGCACAACAAGGGATGTATAGTTCACCATCGGCTGCTGTGCCCAGTTCCCAATCATATCAACCAAGTGGCCAGGGTTACTCGGCGGGTTACAGTCAGCCCACAAGTTACCAGAATGATGGCTACACCCAGCCATCATCACAACCATATGCTCCTTCTACCCAAGGATACCCTCATGACTCCAGGACTTATATCCACGGATCCAATTATTCTGTTGCTGAACCACCCGCTGGCCGCGGCGGATCTGTTCCTCAGTCAACTCCTAGGACTCAATATCCACCTAGTACATCCTACCAAGCACCTGCAACGCAGTACTACTCCCAATCTGGACCACCTGCATCAACTCCAGCATATGCCGCCCATGCACCAACAGATCCCTACTATAGTAGTCGTGGTGCGTACGCCCAAGTGCATCCATTTTCTTAATTGTTCTTATTCTCGCAAACGAACGTAATCTAACAATTTAGCTGCTCCATCAGGCAATTATGAATCCACTCCGGAGTTATACGATAGCAGAGCGTACCCGGAAAGTTCAGATTACCAGATGCAAGATGCCGGATATACTGAACCAGGCTCGTCATACCAGGAACCTGTATCATACTCTCAGCCAATGCCATCTGGACGAAGTGGCACCGCCACTTCTTCGTCTCAAAGACCGCGTGACCGGGACAGTAGGGATGACCGTGACAGACATCACCAGCGCCGCAGGAATTGATCTTCTCTCTGGGACGTAATTGATTTGTGCGATACTGTTTCCTCGGACTTTTATCATGTCCTGGCGTTTTTTTCATTGCTTTATTCCCTGGATTTACTGGAACACTGGACCAATCAAAGGAAGCTCCTATATTATGGATCCAGACGAGACAAAGGGTACTTTACGACTTCATCGGAATCTTAATAAAAAGCCAAGAATGCAGTAGGTACTGCATCTTGGATATCGAGGTATGGTCTTTATATTACCAGGATTTTCTATCATACCCATCGCTAGACTACAACCAACTGGACCGAATACGGAATGTATTATCGGAGAATTACCACGGATGTTTTATCATGAACTTTGCATGTGCAGAGCATTTATCCCAGGCTTTATGAGCTTCGAAGGACCAAATGAGGATAATGGATGTGTTTTTGCCTTCTTGCATTTTTCATCTGTCAGTTGCATCAGTTTTTGCACACGCACAGGCCGTTGGGGCGCATCATGAGTTTATGTTTTCTTGAAAGTTTCTGGATTATCTTAGGATACCATCCCTCATACTTGCTGTCTTGGACCCAAATTTCCGGAAGCCTCGCCGGCTGGTATTTCCTCCATACCACGTTTCGTGATTTGGTTAGTATCTTAATACTCGTTAGAGCATTCAGGTCTGGGTTCAGGCAGCATTGTAGAGGAGTTTGTATATACATCGACAGCAGCCATTCAAAGGATAATTTCAACACTTCAAAACAATACCCATCTACATCATCTCATGGATTCCTTTGTGGTCAAGACCCGACCATGGATTTTCATCACTGACTTTCAAGCATGGCCTCACAGCACAGGTATAATCAAACCATCCGGTTTTGGGACCTCTTTCTGGATTAGCCTTCTTTTCATTTGGACCGGGATTGCTACCCTTACGGACTACCATCTCTTGGATTTCAGAAGTTCAAACCATTGGACGTGCTATCTCTCGATATTCCCTCCGTTGCGTTGGTTCGATTCAGGTGTGTATCATGGACCAATCGGCTCAATTAAATCTCTTTTCGTCGCCTTGTCCAGATGAATCTCATCGCGTTCCAGGACACCGGAACATCTGACCTTTCCACGGGTTACAGAAGGTTGTTGTGCGCCGCTCTGACACAGTCCCGAGAAATGAGGAGTGTGGCCCAAACAGATACCCAACACCCAAGCAACTACATGAAAGAGACCCGGTAAATCGACCCATTGCAAGCATATCCCTGGCTTGGACTCGACATTCCAACTCCGGATTCATCGCTCCCTCCCAAGCGGGCTTGAAGAAAGACACACAAATCACATCCAAAGTGGCCACTGAACCCTCCGAGGACTATCTGCACCTTGCGGTATTTTGTCATATCTCGCCCGATCTCAGCACTCTACATTTTCTTGCGTGGTTTCAAATCCAGGATAGCATCCTTGATCATCATTCAGCCCTCATAAAGCATATCCACGCAGGACGTCCAATACCGTGGTAATTTACTAGCAGCTGTTAGCCATTCTTTCTGAAGACGGATATCCTAACCACGGGGCATAACGGCCGACTTTCACAGAGGGAAACCTTGTAATTTGCCCTCTTCATTGACTGCTGACAGCAATAGGAAATTGCTTGTCAAAATTGGGAACCTTCAGAAAGATTGTTTAGCTTCAAGAGCGTGTCATTTCAATAATTTATGGTGGCAATAGTCTGTTATTTCATTCTTTGAAACTCTGCTCGCATGTTTGCGGGCCTGAGTTGTACGATTGGGATCGGTTTCATTCTACTTTTGTGGAGGGCTTAAGGACTTCATATTCATTTCCGGTTGGGTTGTGAGGAAACATAATACGCATGGCGGTTCGGTTGGTCAGTCGGTCGGTGGCATGGTGTGGTCGTTGGCACATATAATCATTTCAATCATCTCGCAAAACGGCATAGGTGGCATAAATTTAGATGCTATTACGCCATCGCTACTTATGGCTTTTTAATTACTAGTTTTCGTTTCATGTTTTATTTGGATTTCTATTTGCTATAGTGCTGTGATGGTAGACCAATGGACGGTGTGTAATGAGATAAATGACGGTCGAAACTGCAGCTTTCTGCAATGTTTAGGAAAAGAATGAATGAAAGACGTTCTGGAGGACTAGATTCTCCAGCTAATTGTACAAATGTTACTGGTCCCAATCAATTGACATAATGACTCTTTGCTCTAGGCAACGTAGAACTCGTGAAATGGTGAATTGACAAGCGTAAACTATGCCTGACGGCAGCAATATAGGGGCATGTCGGTGATTATAGGTAAATGTTTGGGATGCTGATAGGTCTAAGATGATATCTGTCTCCAACGGCTGGATCGTGAACCTTATCTATATTGAGAGTATCTACCAAAATCAAGATTTAAATCTAGGAATTATTGATTCTTCAACGTTGTTGAACAAATTCTGGATTTGTTGAAGGCGTATCCTGGTGATAGGAACGGCCTAAAAAGTTGATATCTGGGGTAAGTTATCATACCGAGGCTTACCTAGAATGTCTCAGTGCATTCGTTCATTGACTTCTTGACCTGAGAAGAGCTTATCATCAATCTAAACAATTACATACTCATCCATACATGCATTATCATACTTATAACAAATCGTGATGTTACTACTTTCCTTGTGTTTAATTCCACTGATCTGTACTTCTATTCTGGTATCAGGATGGAATAATTATTGGGCTGAAGGTTTCCAGGTGCCATTCCTACCATCAATTCAAGCTCCGTTACGACAATGGACCTCACCACCCAAAGACTCTGGAGGCGATGCAGCCATTAGTCAGAGTCGAACCCTCACTCTGCGAAGCGTGTATCATCGCGGAACCAAAGAATACCCTGAGTTACATCGACGGCTCAGAATCAATCCCGAAAAGATAAAGAGAGCGGCCCTCGAAGTCAGCGATGGCGAATCTGAAGTTGGACCTTTTACCCTTTACACAGCTCGAATAGGCATCAACAGACTTCGAAAGCGAAGTGTACAAGATATAGAAGCTTTCAATCAACGGCCTGCCGATTTACCTGCATCGGCATGGTCTGTCGATGATGTGTCGGCGCCAAATGTGACAGACAAATCCACTGTGGTCAATTTTGCTGTCATGGCAGCAAACACATATCAGCGAACTCCAGATGACCCTCAGTGGGAAGACGTAAAACCTCCCTTCAATCTTTCATCTTCCATTGGATGGGAATCGGATGGTCTGCGGGGCCATGTTTATGCCGACGATACAAATACTACAATCGTTATCGCGCTGAAGGGTACAACTTCAGCTGTATTCGACGGAGCGGAAACAACTACAAATGATAAGGAGAATGATAATCTGTTTGCGGGATGTTGCTGTGGACAAGGTGGATGGGGGCTACGAAAAGTTTGTGATTGTATGACGGCAACATACACATGCAATGAAATGTGTGTTTCTAAAGCATTAAAGAAACCGAATCGTTATTATCAAGCTGCCGTGGAACTTTATGGGAACATTACAGAGGAATATCCCAATGCAGATGTTTGGTTGACAGGTCATTCTCTTGGAGGACTTGTCACTACTCTCGTTGCATTAACTTTTGGCCATCCTGTACTGACCTTTGAGTCGGTCCCTCAAGCATTAGCAATCTCTCGATTGGCTCTTCCTACTCCACCAGGATACAATTCGGCCTCTGAAGCTCGTGATAATGTAGGTATCTGGAACTTCGGACACACCGCTGATCCAGTATATATGGGTACGTGTAATGGGGCTACATCACTTTGTGCTTTTGCTGGTTATGCCCTCGAGTCGACGTGTCATGCAGGATTACGATGTGTCTACGATGTTGTCACAGATTTTGGCTGGAGTGTATCTCTATCGACTCATGGAATCAGAGCCTCCATCAGAAATGTATACAAGAAGTATGATGAAGCCCCGACGTGTGTTGCCGAGACCGATTGCGTTGATTGCTTCAATTGGAAACGAGAAAAGGGACCTCACTCTACTTCATCAAGTACTATTGCAAGTACAACATCAAAGCCAAGGACTCGTACCGAAACTTGCAAAACTCCCGGCTGGTGGGGTTGCTTAGATGAAGGTAGTGCGAGTACAACGTTTACGTCAACGACAACGATAACCTCGACATCTTGTAAGAGTTATGGATGGTTTGGACGATGTATAGACCCAACTGCTACTACGTTTACCTCTAAAACCACTGTTATCGAGGCTTCGGCAACTATCCAAGAGGTTACTGCTACTGTTACGAATAGCGAGGATCTCGCTAGAGGGTCCAAGACTCAACCAGTCCAAACACACCAAATTACTACCTCTCCAAAAGCTCCGACTTGAGAAGATCAAGCATAATACACGGTGACATGAACTTGTGATTGGATAACGGATTGTATTATAACATTGTCTTATTATGATTAGAGAATACACGATCTCCGCGCTGATATTTCGATTGATGTTTATCAAGAAATGAAGTCTGAGCAAGCAACATAGCGAATTCTAGGCTTTTATTTGGAGATAGTCTCTAACACACCGGTACTGGGTATCTAAGCATGCTACCACCTCACCAACCTCAATCATTATTACCAAGCTCCTCATGCAAGCATCACGGCTCATTACTAACCAAACGGTGGCCCGTTCTAGGTTTCATTCTGAAGTTTTTTGAAAAATATTGATTCATGGGTTCATTTTGTCCATTCAATCTTTAATTTGTTGAAGGACAGAAGATAGAAGCGACTGAAGAACTCTTACAGGAGCATATATTCAAGCACATGTATAGAAGGATACTATTACAGTTGTAACATTATTTAGGTAGAATGAAACATATTACTCATATTACTATTGTGTGCTATGCATACAATACGCCGTTCGTTTCTTGTAGTCGCGAAAGTTCGTTTAAGATCTCACTAGCTTCTGCGGCGTTTCCTGATGAATAAAAGGAGCATTTTGTATGCGTTTCAGGCAATTGAGAACGGTCAGATTGTTCAGAGCAGAGGATGATACAGGATTGAGATGGATTATAGAGGAAGTGAATGCAGAGGTGTTAGGAGAAAGAAGATTGATATTGGTATTGGAAGTGGCGCCGTTCGGGGCGAAATAATGTTAAGAGGCGACACCGGGCCAGGACTGCGAGAGGGAGAAAAGAACAAGTTCGAGATAAAAATTAAGGAGAGCCTGTCATAATACGGAATTTTCTGTTATAGATTGATGTTTCTTTGGGTGTACTAATTAATATTTTACCTTCTCGAGTCGGAATGGGAATCCTGGGATTGTAGTACAAACTCGGTTTTCTCTGAATGAAGTAAGGTCTGATATCTCGAATAGTTGGTGGAGTATCGGCAATTAATTTATTGGTGAAAGATGAATAGAGATATAGTTAAGCTGGGGAGTGTGGAGCATAGAATTTTGGAGACATACTTTGCGTTTCTTCGAGGTGACTGAAATGCTGAAATGACGTTGGATCTAGAGGGAGGATTTCTTCGAGGTAGATATATTTCTCCTTTTGCGTTGATGGGTACGGTAAAGTGGACAGTGTATGCACTATTTGCTCATTATACAGAGCACTATTGTCGAATCCTCTAATGATAAAAACTCATCATCTTAACGGTCAATGAGTGAGTAATGTGATTGGACAGCAAAAGAAGGCAGGCAGTGCTAAGCCCTTGTCTATCTCTCATAAATTGTTTATTTTTACGCCGTGATCTTTTCCGTTTGGATGGTGCAGATCGTTTCATGGGAGATGTATATTTTAGCTCTACATTGTCGCCTTTTTGAAACGCGGGAAGAGGGAGTGGAAAGGTAATTCTGGACAAGGGGAGTCCCTGGATTGAAGATGATTTTCTGGCGTCGGAATCTCGTTTGGTGTGTGCGAAGAGGAGCACGAGTATCCATGAATTCAAATATCTAGCAAGATGAGGTATGCACTTTTGTATTGTGGTGAAATTGGGACGATAGTTCAGTAATGCTTGGTCGTGTATATCTTCTATCTTGCTTGGTACCGAGGAGGAGTCGACCACCAATTACCACCTAGGTAGTTGGTGATTTTCCAATTGGGAAGTACATACTCATCAAGGTGTACTGGAGTAATTTGTTAGTATTCCCTTTGTTAATCTACTACTATGACGTTCGATTTCTAATTGCGAAACTTGCTAGTGAATTTCGTCCGTCTAACTCGCTTGCGGGTATGGAGGTTACATCTACTTTTTCCACATCCTGTGGAATCCTTTGGCGGGGAGTGGAATATTGTTTGACGTGCGTGTTAGCTTGTGCTGGATCAATGTAACTTTATGACGCTATGTTTCATGGTTTGAGGGTGATCTTCCGTGTGGCGGGATGGAATGCTTGAAGGTATATGAGATTGTGTTGTTATACTCGATATTGGCTAACAATGCTAAGTTCTGAAAGAACGTGTAGATATTAGGTCTGATAACCTCAGCCTTGCTATTTTTTTCCGTTTTAATAAATACCTTGTTTAGTAGTGTCAACTTGAGCTTTAGTAAGATTGTTAGAATCATTCAAAACTGCAGGATGTTCACTTGCCGTCTAAGACACTCGCTCGAGAAAAGAATCTCTAATCAATGTCTGTTACTCCAGATGGCCAAGATCTCCTTTCCTTTCTATCTATGTTTTGCTTTAGAGGTTTGCAGCCTTATACATACAGACATACATCTAGACAATATCTGAATTGAGGCGGGGCAAATGGATTCGTCTAAACAAGGAGTAGATGGACAACCAGCCTTAATTCAGAGTTGACCATGAACCCGGAAGCAAAGGAAGCCATGAATTGTTTTGTTAAATTCTCCTCGTCTCTTGCTGTATGAGGTCATGGAAGAGACATAAAACAAAAAATATCAGTAGTGTTGTTTTTCAAAGGACCTGGCTTGATAAATCCTCCCGTTCAAGAAATGAAATGTCTGTTTCAACGCACAGGAAATTGAATCCTTTTATGCTGGATATCGGAACAGTTCATGTTGATATTCATATCCATTATGTGTGCGAGATATCGAATGTACAAAGATGTTGAGGTATGTACTCGAATACAAAAAGGATTTTTTATTCAAACCATCTCATCTTTTGCTTTCAGTTCTACATTTACTTTTAGAGATTACTTCCTTCACCTCGTTCGTTACAATAAATTTCATTCATATTCTCTTATTCATCGAACTTCTCAATCCTTCCCTCCAAATATGCCATCGTGTATCTCCTAAAAGCATCTCCCTTTTCAGCCTAGAAACCGCAATCCTCTCATCCCCACTCAACCTCTCCCTTCTCACCCACGATAACGGCGCTTTCTATGTAATGCGAGTCAAGGACAGAGCGTCACCGTCACAAACGGGTATTCGATCAACATTAGTTCTAGAGTCTAGACTAGGCACCGGAAAAGAAATCAGTGAGATGTTAACGGAGAGTTTCAATATCGGGACGAGCTGTAGCTGTAGCTGTAGCTGTAGCTGGAGTCAGAGTATCTGGTATACGACGACGGAGACGTTTAGTAAGATTTTGGATCGGAAGAAGTGTGGTTATCAGACCTTTATTCCGTATCTCATGACGTGCGTTTTCTATTTTCCATTCAACCACTTCCCCCATAATCACTCACTTACCCCCATAGATCCTGCAAAACCCCTCACCGCCACTCCCACTGGCTACACACCCTCTGGGCTCTCCAACCCTAACCCTACTGCTCGAGACGCAAATACAAAGATACTCCCGCCTGGTGCAATACGACTCCTTATAAAGACAACAATAACAATAGTCACGCAGAAAGCAAAGTACTTTTTATATTCACGGATTGCAAACGAATGCCATTGGGTGTTTAAAACGGGTCACGATACACCTTATAAGTATCTGGGAATGAGCACTCGGCTTAAGTGAAGGGCTGGGATGGGAAGTGGGGATTTGTTTGGGTGTTGGGAGATGATATATATAAATGATTTGGAAGGGAGGTTTTTGTACCTTCGCTTCACTTACATTCACGAAACTTGGTCTTTCCAATCCTCATTGATCGATTACTCATGGACTATGAATTCTCTACTCATATCCATCCATCTTTGAGTATCCACTATAAAACCAAAAATAAACCCAAAAATAAACCCAAAAATAAACCCAAAACCAAAACTCAATATACAATTCCACTCTCCTCAACCTCAACCTCCATCTCCATCTCCATCTCCCCAACCCATCAAATCTTCCAAATATATATAAAAAATCTCCAAACTATAAACTTCATCTCATCTCTATCGATCACTCAAAAGCAAGGATATACATAGGTACCTACCTAACCGAGTATATATCTCCCCCCATAGACCTGACAATTGCATTTCCAAATTCCAACATCATCCACCCGGGTTGCAAAAGGGGGGATACATACCAACTTATCCCTCTATAAACAACCAGCTGTATCCCTAAATTTTTTATTTTTTGATATTTTTTGATATTTTCCCCTTCCCCTACACCTACACACCTATCTACCCACACCGCCAAAAAAACAAAAAAATTATATATATAAAACAAAGCGAATTCCCGCAGTTCACTCACTACGGGACATGAAAAATCATATAACAGCGCGCTGATTCTTTCATTCACCCCCCCCCCCCCCCTCCTATATCACATCACGAGCTAGAGGTGAAGGGCGAACGCTCGCTCATTTGCTCGCTCATTTTATAGTGACATCTCTCGAGGTCATTGTGGGAAAGTACTTCCTCTTGAGTCTTGATAGCTCTTTTCTTTTGAGAGTCAGGTTTGGTTTGTATACCTAGGTAGGTATTCAAAGGACAATAGCCGTAGTCGTCTAATTCAATTATGTCCTCCCAACCCTCATATATATATACAGTCAACGTATCATTACGAATTCAAATTCAAATCAGATGGAGAATATGATAATGATGAAGAGATAACAGATTGAATTACATAGGGAGATTGAATTTTGATCGTTGTAGATTTGCATACTTCGAGGAAGGAAATTGATTCTTGCGTGCGTGAGGTGAGATGTGGAGGAGTACTTATGCAAAGCCATAACTCTAATTTCTCTTTCTGAATTCAGATATCTATCTACTCTATCGATTAACCACCGTCTTAGTGTTCTCCTCCACTCCCAATGATCCACTCCGCTCTCTCCTTCAACTTGAACTTCTGAATCTTCCCACTAGCCGTCTTTGGATATTCATCCATCCAGAAGATATATTTCGGAACCAAATGCCCACTCAAATGTGTCCTCACATGGTGTCGAATTGCTTCTTTAGTGAGTCTTGGGGCTTGGCCCTTTTCTCCCTCCGTGGTTTTAGCTCCGGCTTCTGCTTTGAAGATCTCATTATGGCTGCTGGCATTAATTCCGTTCTTCACAAGTTTTTCATAAGTTTCCCAACTCATAATATCGTTCGTGACCCCCGCATCATCCGATCCTCGGCTCACACCCTGTCTAGGTACAATCCACGCACAAACTACCTCTCCATATTTGTGGTCTGAAATTCCAACCACGCTAACCTCCCTAACATCTTCCATACCAAAGATGCAGTCTTCGATTTCAAGCGGATGGATGTTTTCTCCTCCCCGTATAATCAGATCTTTAATCCTCCCCGTAATCTTTACATAACCTTCTTCATCCATACTAGCTTCATCGCCCGTCTTCATCCAAACCTTCCCATCTTTATCGGTGATCAAGACTTCTGCGGTGCGATTTGGATCTGCATAGTATTCTTTCATAACCAGATATCCCGAGACGGCCAATTCGCCGCGTTGACCTAATTGCAGAACTTTATTGGGATCAGAGGGTGAGACGATTTTAGTAGATACATGAGGTAATTGCTTCCCCACGCTATCAAGTCGTTTTTCCATCGGATCAGTTGGAGTCGTCATACAAGAAACGGGGCTCGTTTCTGTCATTCCATAACAAATTGTTAGACCAGTAAGATTTAATTGTTTATGAAGCTTTTCCATCAAGGATTTAGGAACGGAAGAACCAGCTGCGATACCTGTGCGTAAATGTTCAAAGCCAGTATGAGGAATGGCACCCGTAGAAAGAAGTTCGAGTTCGGCGAGAAACATAGTGGCAACTCCATAAAGAGCTGTGGCTTTGTTTTCTTGAATGCTTAGAAGAGTTGCCGAAGGATTGAAAGCAGGGGAAGGAAACAGAATTGTGCTGCCATGAGTAGCGGTTGCCATATATCCGAGAATAGAACCGAAGCAGTGAAATAAAGGGGGTGGACAACAGACTATATCTGATGGTGTGAGAGCCATACGAGAGCCGATAAAATAGCCATTGTTGAGAATTGAATGATGGGTCAAGCAAGCTGCTTTAGGAGTCGAAGTTGTACCTGATGTGAATTGAATATTGATTACATCATCTTTATGCAATTCCTGATTTGGAAAGACTTCCTTCTCTTTATCTGATCCATAAATCGACATCATCGTTTGAAAATCAATGGTAGCTGGCAAACTCGCAAGTTCATCATTCGGACTTTTCACGAGAACAACGTTCTTTAAACTTGGAACAGCTCCACTCTTCCAATCATTCGCGAGTTGCCTGAGATCCCCAATGATATCTTTCAGTAAAGGTGTATTGTCCCTGGGGGGCTTAAACGGTAAATGTGTTTCATGGCCAATTATCAGGTGAGAAGCCGCCAAGTGGTTCAAGGCCGACACCACTTGTTTCGTATTAAATGCTGGATTTAACGGTACCTATTTCAAACAGCGATTAGCACCTCCCCGATCTTTCAAAGCCATCTTTACCTCTCTTGAGATTCACTTCCATCATCCTCAACTTACCAACACAGCACCCAATTTCCAAATTGCATAAGTGATTGCTCCAAACTCCCATCCGTTCCCCAGACTAACAGCTACCCTATCTCCCTTCTGCACACCCAAATTTCTCAACCCACATGCTATAACATTACTCTTCTCATCCAATTCTCGATATGTAAGTTTTACATTTTGGGAGCGAGATATGAGTGCAAGGTTATCACCATGAGCGTTGACGATGCTGCGGAAATGCTGGGGAATAGTATGCTGGAGAAGTGGCGGCTGAGAGGAAGCGGATCGTTAACTTGGTGGTTATAAGAGATTGAAGATAGATAGACGGGGTTAGAGGGTATCGAGTATAGGGGGAGGAGAAGGAAGACATGAAACCAATTACCTCGTTAGGTCCAGCACTATAACTCTCTGTCAACAGACCTCTCCTTTGAAAGCGCATTTCAAGCCCAAACCCAACTCTACTTCTCATTGTACTCCCAGCTCTCACTCCACCTCCTAGGCTTCTCGCCATCTCACTCCTCAACTTAATTCCCAAACCATCTCCACATCTCCATCCCCGCATTCCAGCTCTGGCTTCCGTTCCTGCTTTCGCTCCCGCAATACACAATCTAGAAGCCATATCATCTATGAGAATAAAGAAAACCACTTACTCCGAAACGAAACCCAAAGCTTTTCAGCTCATGGCATAGGTACATGTAACAAACCAATATATATGTAAACATTGTGAAATGCTATCCCACTAAAGCACAAAAGTACAACGAGTACTTCAGCTCTCGGTTCAAAAAGGCGGGGTAAGCTCTTTCGGCCGATGTCAGACCCATAATTTATCTATGTAATCTGTAGTATTCCCATTGCTGGAAAAGTTACCCCTGAGTCTTGGCTACATATTAGATCTGAGATCTATGTCATAGTTAATATATCCCAGAGATAAAATGCAACAGAAGAGTTGTCTCGGAAAAACAAAGTGGCATGTTATGATGATTGCTTGGTCCTCGACTTATTGATTCCTTCTCCTTATTCACAATATCAATAGTACAACTATATATACAACTCCACCGCCGTAGACTTTTCCTTGCTCTCCGAATCCTCCTATGGGAGTACCCATTAAAGATATTTTATCCGTATCCCAAGCAGGTCGCAACATTGCTTCAGCGATTCCACCATCTATTCCACCTCCCAAGGCAATCCAGAAGTACAAAAATCCAATGATACACAAATTTCAGCTCTTGGAAATCCATGTCTTCTGCTTTTGGCATTGCAGCCAAACATAGAAAATTCGGGGCCTGCTTCCACATACACACACTTTCCCCTCCATCCTTCTTCAACCATCCAAACAAGAATGAAACTGTATCCCAATATCCCAAATCTCAAATCAAACTCCATGCTAATAGAATAAAAGCAAACGCAGAGGTATTTTTTTTTTAAAGGACAACCATTCTATGTTTTCCCATCAAACAATAAAAGAAACGAAAAGCCTCCCATTGTGCTCGGCAGTGTGCCACTCATGCATTTGATGCTCGCTCAAAATCGACTAGTGTATGTGCAATGTGCTCATGATTTTTTGTAAGGAAAAGTATCTGTCGTCGGGAAGCGAATATTGATTTAATTCGCCCCGACATGTCGTTCGTTCTCAGGCTTCCACGACCCTAAATGATCAGGTTAGTTGATGCGCTTATCATAGAGAGATCTACCAGACAAACCTTCGAAGTCGTGCTTCACAAAAGCCATAGGATCATCATAATCGTTTGCATTCATTTGTCCAACTCCAGGACTGAAACTCGTAATAGGCAAGACAACCACATCACCAACCTTCTTTGCTGATACAATGCCTGTGAAATCTCTCCATGTGATGTTTCCCTTGCTTGTCGTCATGTCAAAATATTTCTCATCGTTCAAAAAGTCGAAAATAGTATCTGTCCACAAAGCGGGGCCGGTGAATGTTACAACATTCTTATCATCAAATTTCTTGAGAGTTCCACGTTTCTTCATGTCTAAAGTCTGTTCAGTAATATTGGCAACGATCTCGCGGAGCACAGGATGTCCAGGCTTTGCTTGAATTGTCCATTGACAAAACTGAATTCTTCTAGAGTACCATTCTTGCCAATCTGGACGATCTGCATCTGCCTCAATGCCAACTACTAATCCAATAGCTTCGCGTGGCACACTCTCGGGAAGCCATTCCGGGGCAGGTTTCAATGCGTGGGTATCAATATCGGAGTAAATTCCACCTCTGGCCAGCAGAATTAGGTAACGGAAGAAATCAGCTTTCAAAACTGGCATAGGTAAGGAATTGTAAGCCTCTAAAACTTCTGGCACAGAAGCATATAGATGCTTTAGCAAATGGACTGCGACTTCGTCTGTGATGACTTCGTGTACGAATCCCGGGTGCTTTTCCGACCAACTTGCTTCCGCAGGACGAAAGGCTTCCCCAAACTCTCCAGATGCTGGTGTGTATTTCCACGTCTGCCAAATGTATGCCGGAAACTTCGTCTCTACGTCGTATGGAAATTGATATGCGAGCTTTTCTCGTAAAGGCGCTCTTGACAAATCTTGTAATAGTGTTTGGGGGACTTGAGTATTCTTTTTGGGTGTAGATGGAATCGCATTTGTCGAGGCTGGTGAGCCTGGCTTTTTTTCCGAATCCGCTTCCTCCTTCTCTCCTGCTTTTGGTATACTCGTATCTTGTAATAATATATTGTTTGATGTAGGTTGATTGTGCGTTCGTGTTACCAGAAATACCATGGTAAGGAAGAAAGCCGCAGCTACCAAAGCTCTCCTGAAGGTCAACATCTTTGCGCAAATTGGCAGAATTTGTATCTGCCGAGTAAAATCGATACACAATATCTCGACTATCCGAACGAATTCGTCCTTTATCCCGAGAATTGTCTTTTACCGTATGGTGAAATGTTCTCGTCCAGAGGATCTGGTCGCTGAATAGGCCGGCCGGACTCCAGGAAATTTTTGGGCAGTCAATTCAATGCCAAGATGGTAACGCACATAGGCGTGTTTGATAATGGATTGCGGAACCAACAGATAGCTAGCGTTTGATATGAGACTAGAAGTGATTGAAAGAAAAAAAAAGATGAGCCTCGATTCGACAATCAAGCTGGAGTAAGGTAGAAAAGATATTTATAACTTGAGAGTAAAGGACAGACTTTGAGTGGAGTGTATGTAAAGGAGTAAGAGAATGAATGGGTAAAAAGATGGGTTTGGGGGGGGGATTGAAAAGTAGATATATATTTCTCGTACCAAGTTTCGAAAGTCAATTGGCAGACACTTATTCCAAATGAATAAATCGGTACAATAGGTATATCGTAGAGGTAGAGGTATACTTTTGCACTGTCATTGATCGACCTCTTATGATTGTTGATCTTTTGCGTAATAAAATGAGTCCCAAGTGAACTTTTTTTCTCTCTTTCTCTTTGATCGTTGCTCGACTAACCAAAAGTCCTTGAAGTACCTACGGTAAGTAGAGAGAGTAGTCGGTAGAGAATGTTTTAATCCTCTCGGTCTTCTTGTCTTATTGTCCTTTTGTCTTCTTTCTATTTAATCATCTAATTCGTCCATCGGATTGAATTGGATTGGGTGATTCTTTCCTGAGAGGCAAGCTTATCATGAATATTACAACCAACCATGGCGATATCAGGCCTGTGGTGCGAGTCTTACTGTATGCGTCGTGAAGACTTTGACACTAAAACGGTAGGAATGGGCCGAATTCAGTGACGAATCATCCCTGTCGATAATCGTACGAAGCTAAGGAAGTGCTGGGAAGTGCTGGGAAATGCTGGGAAATGCTGGGAAATGCTGGGAAGCGGAGGAAATAGTGGAGGAAATGGGAGAAGAGAAGAGAAGAGAAGAGGAGAAGGAATCCAAAGCCGAAACCAAAAATAGAGCAAGAGAAGGGGGAAAGGGATTCCTGACCGTTGGAAGACGCAATGCGATGATGGATGGGAGGCTGTGACGAGGTAACTTTCAACTGACCGTTTCATCATCGTATGGTATTATTGTATTGTTGTATCGTATCGTATGATACTACCTAGGGAAGCCATTATTCCATTATTCCATTATCACTACTTGTTATGAGCAGGCGAGGAGAGTTCAAGAATGAGGTCAAGGCAGGCAGGCAGAGTCAACGAATTATGAGATACAGAGGATCTGTTCCTGTGTCTCAATATGGAGGAGCTTACATTGATGACTATGGATGACTATGACTATGACTATGACTATGGCTGTGGATGGCTACTCCGTATAACCATAATACTATCAGATCATTGGACCCTATGATCTATCTATCTACTACCTACTATCTACTATCTACATATCAAAGTTGCTACCTACTCGATCAAGTCGGACTCTGTTTCAGGTTTTCTCTCCTTTCCATCCAGTCACAAACGGAGGAATTCCCTCAAAATCTTCCAACCAATGCAATGCAAGGAAAATGATACTATCACGGGCATACTTCACATGTGCTTAATCTATCATCGACATCCATCCCCATCCCCATCCCCATCCCCATCCCCATCTCCACCAAAGAAACGCGGCGTCTCCAACCAATATTCAGACCACGTTTTCTCCGCTCCTTCACTCAAACTCTCCTCTCCTTCCTATCAAAGTCAAAGTATATATTCCCCCCACTCACGAGAAGTTTTGTCCTGAATACTTACGTCGACATGCAGAACCAACATACGCACAAACTTTGCAAGCTGCGTAACCATTCGGAGGATCTAACCAGTCCGTCAGGAAGGCAAGATACTCGAAACTTAGAAATTATATTAATATATGTCTTTAAGAGACAAGCACGCACATTCACATCCCCATCAAGCCCCGAGCCAAGTAACAATCATTATCCTTTACCCCTCATCCCTTATCCCTCATCCCTCATCCCTCGTTATCAAAGGTGGTATTGTGCCGTTGATATACCGACATGCTTTAGACTTATTTGAAGTTATTTCTGCATCTCTCACTCACAAGGGGTGATCCAGGGGTAACCGGCCAATCGCACTCAACCTGGAGATGGAAAACGTTGATCGCCTTGATGACTTCATCACATCTCCCAAAATCGCACATCGTAATATATCTTTCTACTCAAACCGGAAAATACAATCTGAACACACCATCTTGAAACAAACTTAATCCAACGCTTAATTTTCCAAGACTCGAGGGGTCTGACAGTCTCGGGAGTCTGTGAAAGGCGGATGAGTTGCGCTTGCGGGTGAGTTATGGGATAAATCGGATATGCAAACACAGACGTTCCATCCAATCTTCGTCAACGTCTGCATATAATACCAAAGTGCAGGTGTTTTTGATACACAGAAGATTATGCACCGACCTTCTTCGTATATATTACTCACTTTAGCTACCTTTCTATGCGTTCGTATGTACGACCCCTCATTCAATATACGTGAGTGAGTATGCTTTGCGTCTCGCTATCTCAACAAAACAACATCTATCCAATCGCGAGCTCACATCTTCATCTCCGCATTCTAAACCTCACCATCCTCTCTATCTCCATACCGCATGCTTACCACGCCATCCCATTTGATTCCTCCCCGACTCGGCTTCACAGCCGATAAATCTCATTCGCACGACGACCCCTCAATGTGATACCGGTCCATACAG